GTACTGGTCAGTATAAAGAATCGCATTTAGATCATATGAAGTTAGTATGTGATGATAATGATGTTCCAACCTAGACTAATGTGACCGACTCTGACAATCCTCCTGATCCTGTACCCTTTACCTCTAATACTCAGTCAGATGATCAACCTGAATGTTATTCCCTACATACATGACAGGTATTAAGAAATCCTCAAGTATCATTTGTAACTACCATTTCAGATCTGCCTAAAACACAGCATGAGTTAGCCAGTGCAACAGAGTTTGATCCTCCCAGAGATGATACCCATTCTGCATATGTAAATCTCACCCTAGCAGAGTTGGGGTTAAATGTAAATAACCTGTATAGATGTAAAGTAAAAGGACACAAGTGCAACTAATGTGACATTTATTGTGGCAACGTTTCGCTCTCCAGGAGCTTTATCAAGCCATTACAAACAATACATGGACACAGAGGGTATATAAAGGCTCAGAGTGAGGTGTAATACTAGTGAGGTACCATTTCGATGTTCACTAGTGGTAGTAGTAGTAGTAGTAGTGGTGGTAGTGACAAAAGTAATACAATATGGTAGAGCAATTAATTCGTACATGAGTAAAAGGATATAAAAGCTATTACTTGGGTAACATAAAAATAGGTTGGACAAATATAGACTGGAATGAGGCAGCTTGTTTCAGTGTTCACTCTCTGTGCTTTGTGTACCTCACTAGTATTACACCTCACTCTGAGCCTTTATATACCCTCTGTGTCCATGTATTGTTTGTAATGGCTTGATAAAGCTCCTGGAGAGCGAAACGTTGCCACAATAAATGTCACATTAGTTGCACTTGTGTCCTTTTACTTTACATATTGTCGGTAATTCTACCAACTTTATTACAACCTGTATAGATGAATAATATAGTTTTCAATGTGGTCTGCTACAATATCAACTTATTAATATTTAAGAAATTTTTGTGTGTGTTCATGTTCTCTCCGAACTCTGAGATTTAACAGTCTAGATTTGAGTGCACCAAATCTGCCTTTTCTGTTAAATACTTCTTTCTTCCTCAAAATCTATAAATCACATGAATACAGATCGATCGATCAACTTTTTTTTATCACTTTTATTGTATAATCCCAATATTGAGCTTCATTCTATGCCTTGTGATATATCATACCTTGTAATGCATTACAACAAGTTCCATTACAACGAGTTCCATTACAATAAGTTCCATTACAGTAAGTCACATTAGCTTTCATCCCGATATTCTCCTTCTGTATGTTTTAATGTTCAATTGTTGTGTACTTTGACACTGTATAGAATCAGCCCAAGCCGTACGCCTGAAACCAAGACAACAGTGCATAAGTGTTCACAATAAAGCTAACAGAATCCTTGGCTTCATATCAAGAACAATAAATAATAGAAGTCCTCAGGTTGTTCTTCAACTTTATATATCCTTGGTTAGACCTCATTTAGATTATGCTGCACAGTTTTGGTCACCGTATTACAGAATGGATATAAATGCTCTGGAAAACATACAGAGGAGGATGACAAAGTTGATCCCATGTATCAGAAACCTTCCCTATGAGGATAGACTGAGGGCCCTGAATCTGCACTCTCTAGAAAGGCGTAGAATTAGGGGGGATATGATTGAGGTGTATAAATGGAAGACAGGAATAAATAAAGGGGATGTAAATAACGTGCTGAAAATATCCAGCCTAGACAGGACTCGTAGCAATGGTTTTATGTTGGAAAAATTCAGATTCAGGAAGGATATAGGAAAGCACTGGTTTGGTAATAGAGTTGTGGATGAGTGGAACAGACTCCCAAGTACAGTTATTGAGCCTAAAACGTTGTGTAGTTTTAAAAATAGGTTAGATAAATACATGAGCAGGTGTGCGTGGGTGTGAGTTGGACCTGATTAGCTTGTGCTACTAGGTCAGTTGCCGTGTTCCTTCCTTAAGTGAATGTGACCTGACCTGACCAGGTTGGGGGATTGGCTTAAGCTGGTAGGAGACTTGGACCTGCCTCGTATGGGCCAGTAGGCCTGCTGCAGTGTTCTTTCTTTCTTATGTTCTTATGTTCTTAAATCATCCTGGAGTGCTCTAGTGTCTTCATTAGAATGAATTGGACGGCCTATTTTGGAGTCATCAGCAAATTTGCTTATGTCACTATTTATTCCCTCATCTATGTCGTTTATGTAAATTGTGAACAACAATGGGCCCAACACTGACCCCTGAGGAACACCGCTTGTGACGTGCCCCCATTCTGATTTCTCCCCATTTACACAAACTCTCTGCTGCCTATTTGTCAGCCATGCCTCTACCCAGGAAAAAATTTCTACTCCTATTCCGTGTCTTAAGTTTCCTCAATAGCCTCTGATGCGGTACTCTATCGAAAGCCTTACTGAAGTCCATATACACAATATCATATTCATTACCATGATCTACCTCCTCAAACACCTTAGTGAAAAAGTTAATTAATTCGTAAGACAGGAACACCCCTTTGTAAAACCGTGTTGAGATTCATTAATCAATTTATGCCTTTCGAGATGGCTACGAATTGCTTCGGCAATTATTGATTCCATAAATTTTCTCACTATGGAGGTAAGGCTTATTGGTCTATAGTTCGAAGCTAAGGACCTGTCACCTGCCTTGTAAATAGGTATTACATTTGCCATTTTCCGCTTATCAGGCACTATGCCAGTTTGTAGTGATATGTTGAAAAGATTTGTCAAAGGTATGCTAAGTTCCTCTTTACATTCCTTTACACCCTTGCAAACAGTTCATCAGGGCCTGGGGATTTGTTAGGTTTTAGTTTCTCAATATGTCTGAGGAACATGTCATTAGTTACCACAATCGTGCATAGTTTATCGTCCTGTTCTACGTAAACTATTATTTCAGGAATATCGCTAGTATTTTCCTGGGTGAAAACTGTGAGGAAGTAGGTATTTAAAATTTCACACATATCCTTATCACTGTCAGTATCTGACCTGAGTTACTCTTAAGTGGGCCTATCTTGTCCCTAATCTTACTTCTGTATACTTGAAAGAATCCTTTTGGGTTAATCTTCGAATCCCTTGCGACCTTAGCCTCATAATCCCTTTTTGCTTTTCTTATTCCTTTTTTTTATTTCTCTCTTTAATTGAATATATTGATTTCTTAACTGCCCATCCCCTCTTTTGATACGCCTGTATATGCCTCTCTTTTGACCAATAAGATGTTTTAATCTATTGTTCATCCTTTTGGGATCATTTTTGTTAGATCTAATTTTCCTACTCGGAACAAAAGTTGTCTGGGCAGCTAGAACTATGCTCTGAAACACGTCATATTGGCAACCAAGATCACCTACCTGACCCATAGTCAGGTTATCCCAATTTAGCGCACCCAGGTAATTTTTCAGTCCCATGAAATCGGCCAAGCGAAAGTCTGGGACAGATTCTGGACAGACTGTAGTACTTTGCAATTGCTTCACTGCCCCCTTGGTGGAGTGGGGCTGTCTGTTGTTTTTAGTAACTGTGGGATGACCCCATTGTCCATGCTCCCCTCTCCATAGGATGTTAAAAGCACGTGATGGGGGCTTCTTGCAGTTCTTGATGAACACGTAGTTCCATGAGTCTGGCCCTGGGGTACAGTGCATGGGCATGTCATTTATCGCTTGTTCATTTAGGTCTTCGACTCTCAGTCTGGTTAGCGGCTTGCTGAAAACTGAGTCATATTGGGACTTGAGTAGCTCACTCATTTCCTTTCTGTCATCTGTGTAGGACCCATCTTGTTTAAGTAGGGGCCAAATACTGGATGTTGTTCTCGACTTTGATTTGGCATTAGAAAAGAAATATTTTGGGTTTCTTTCGATTTCATTTATGGCTTTTAGCTCTTCCCGTGATTCCTGACTTCTTTAAGATTCCTATAATTTTAGTTCGATATTTGCTATTTCTCTGACCAGTGTCTCCCTACGCATTTCAGATATATTGGCCTCTTTTAACCGCTCTGTTATTCTATCCCGTCGCCTCTAAAGGGAGCGCCTTTCTCTTTCTATTTTACATCTACTCCTCGTTTTTCTTAAAGGAATAAGCCTTGAGCATACATCGAGTGCCAGAGAGTTAATCTGTTCTAGGCATAAGTTGGGGTCTGTGTTGCTTAGTGTATCTTCCCAGCTTATATCGGTTAGGACTTGGTTTACTTGATCCCACTTGTATACCATGTACGTGTATACCATGTACATGTACTTGTAGTAAATAAAGGTATTATTATTATTATTATTATTATTATTATTATTATTATTATTATTTTAAGGCAAGAACTGGGTACGTTATGATGGGTTTTACCCTGGTGTGGTATGAGGGTACAAGAGTGAGGTACCCTGGTGTGGTATGAGGGTACAGGAGTGAGGTACCCTGGTGTGGTATGAGGGTACAGGAGTGAGGTACCCTGGTGTGGTATGAGGGTACAGGAGTGAGGTACCCTGGTGTGGTATGAGGGTACAGGAGTGAGGTACCCTGGTGTGGTATGAGGGTACAGGAGTGAGGTACCCTGGTGTGGTATGAGGCAAAAGGAGTGAGGTACACTGGTGTGGTATGAGGGTACAGCAGTGATGTACACTGGTGTGGTATGAGGGTACAACAGTGAGGTACCCTGGCGTGTTATGAGGGTACAGCAGTGAGGTACCCTGGTGTGTTATGAGGGTGCAGCGGTGAGGTACCTTGGTGTGGTATGAGGGTGCAGGAGTGAGGTACACTGGTGTGTTATGAGGGTACAGCAGTGAGATACCTTGATGTGGTATGAGGGTACAGCAGTGAGGTACCCAGGGTAATGTATGTTACTGTACCAGGTGGAACACTTCCCACACACACGCATACACACACACACACACACACACACACACACACACACACACACACACACACACACACACACACACACACACGTATATATACACACAGGTTCACCACAGATACACACACTCACCTCGTCCACTAAGGTACATTAACCAGTTTCTGAAGTAATTTTTTATGTGAAGATCATCCTGTGGACAGTTTATTGTATTAATGTTTAACTACTACACGAGGGTCGTTAATTGGTTTAAATTTATCTATTACGAGAAGGTCATTAAGATTGGTTGGAACCATACCACGGGTGGGGTTAGAACCTGCTATCAGTCATAAAACTTCAGACTGCCTCGTCGTTCCACTGGTCCAGCTGACTACAATAAGATTCATCCAACTAGGTATATTTATACATCATATGAAGGTTAGCATAGGCACCACTGTATTTTTGGTCACAGTGGTGCCTATGCTAACCTTCCTATGGTATATAAATATACTAAGATGGATCAATCTTATTGTAGCCAGCTGGTCCATGTACATGTACTGGTAGAAATAAAGATTATTTATTTATTAATATTATTATTATTATTATTATTGGTTGGTTGGTTAATAGGGTTTTAAGTCTATCTACTGCACAAGGGTAATTAAGATGGCATGTCAGTATACACCACCAGTCAGGAATACTTTAATTCCATGATGAGTGTTTAATGTAAACTGGCAGTGTATATAAACTGATTTAAACATCTCTCAGTGTTTATACACTGATATATTCACCTTTTATTGTAAAAACACTGAGATATACACCTACTGTATATACACAGAGATATACACCCACTGTATATACAAAGAGATATACACCTCTCTGTAAAACATTGATATATACACCTCTCAGCTTATATACACTGAAATATTCTCATCTTATTGTATATTCAATTAGATCTACACCTCCCAGTTTATATATATTCTGAGATATACACCTATAGTATATATACTGACATATAAATTTCCCAGTGTATATAATCTGAGATAAACACCTAGTGTATATGGAATTACATCTCTTTATGTATACTGAGATATACACCTATCAGTGCATGCCCACTAAGATATACACCTCCCAGTGTACATACCCTGAGATACACACTTTTCAGTGTGTGTGTGTATATATGGTGTATAAGAGTCGTATTATTATTGTCTCACAACAGATGAAGTGTACCGTACTGGTTCTGTTTGGTCTGGCCCTGACCACTGCCACGCCTGAGTGGGAACAGTTCAAGGTAAGTAACCGGGCCACTTTGTTAACTGGGCCACTTAGCAAGTCGGTTAACTGGTTTTAAAGACTACTACGAGAATGATCATTAACCTGCTACTTGCTTCTTTAACCGCATAGTAGACTGCCAGTCACCTCAGATGTGCAAAGTGGGAGGATAATATCACTCGACTCAGCTGAATGGGATCTATTACCAGTCTATTGAAGACTATTTCTAGTGATCTATTGAGCCAAATATCATGGCTTCCATGTGTGGTCATTGCTTATCTATTGCACATCTACTGAAGACTATTTCTAGTGACAATATTCTAGGTGTATACTGTGGCTAGTATTTAACTAAGAGATACTAAGGTGTTTAAACACACTGGGGAGTCAAAATAACGCCTTGATGAACCCCAGAAGTTATCAGCAGGTGTTATCATAGTTATCAGCAGGTATTATCATTCTTATCAGCCGGTGTTGTGATAGTCATCAGGTGTTATCATAGTTATCAGCAGGTGTTGTGATAGTCATCAGCAGATGCTGTGATAGTTATAAGTAGGTAGGAGTAAAACATTTGCAAATAACAACAGACCGATAGCGCTAACATCCCATATCATGAAAACCTTTGAAAGGGTTCTAAGAAGCAAGATCACCAACCACTTACATACCCATCAGTTACACAAACCAGGGCAACACGGGTTGTGTAACTGATGGGTATGTCCAGTAGCTGGGACAGGCAGGTCGCTCCTGCCTGTCCCAGCTACTGGACCACTATGACAAGGTCCTGGATGCTATAGAGGATAAACAAAATACAGATGTAGTAAACACAGACTTTGCAAAAGCATTTGACAAGTGTGACCATGGTGTAATAGCTCACAAAATGCGTGATAAAGGAATAACAGGAAAAGTTGATGGATGGATCTTTAACTTCCAAAGAAATAGAACAAAAAGAATAATAGTAAACAGAGTAAAATCTGAGACGACTACAGTGAAAAGCTCTGTTCCACAAGGCACAGTACTCGCTCCTGTCCTATTCCTCATCCTCATTTCTGACACAGAGATGTAAGCCATAGCTCTGTGTCTTTCTTTGCGGATGACACCCGGTTTGCCATGACAGTGACCTCCATCGACGACACAGCAAGACTCCAAGCGGACATCAACCAAATCTTCAAATGGGCCACTCAAAACAATATGAGGTTCAATGAAGAGAAATTTCAACTACTCACACATGGAAAACTTGAGGAAATTAAAACTGTATCAGGGTATACGACAAATTCTAACCATACAATAGAGCAAAAAAATAATGTGAAGAACTTGGGAGTGATAATGTCAGAGGATCTCACCTTCAGTGACCACAACAATGTATCTACTGCATCTGCTAGGAAAATGATAGGATGGATAATGAAAACCTTCAAAACTAGGGACGCCAAGTCCATGATATGATTCTCATC